ATGCTATCTGCTGGCCAAAGTGTACTATTTAGGGAATTTTGCCACTGAAACCATCACCATAGGATGAAATTTGCATTATTCTCAAAAATATATCTCCCTTTGCCTTCTAGCGCCAGGAAACCACCGATCTGCCATTTTTGTTTTTGTTTTTACTTAAAGATAATGTGGATATTGAGAAAAGTTCATGTTGGGGCAATAGTGGTGGGTGCTGTACTTCCACATGGCCAACTGTGGTTCAAGACCTGGACTCAGTGGCTTGAAAATCACACTGAACATATGTGCATGCATATCCAATATCCTGAGAGGAGAATGCAGGAAAAGAGATGGTAGTGTGGCTATTTCCCTAGGGTGATTTCTCACTTTCCTTCTCACTGTCTCTCTCTCTCTTTTTTCTTGGAGAGGTTTTTGCTATAGAGCATGTGCACTCACCAGAAAGACAGAGACAGAAAGCGAGAAATCACCCCCTGGGGGGATGGCCATGCCACAATCCCTTCTTGTTCATTATTCTCTCGGGATCTTGGGCATGCATGCCTGGCGTGAATTTAAGCCACCAGGTCTGGGACTCGAACCGCGGTCAACTACATGGGAGTCCAGCGACATAGCCATTATGCCAACTGCTGGTCCCAACCATCTGAATTTTATTTGTTGCATTGTAAGCTTCCTTACATCTTTCAGCTAGAAAAAGATTAAATTAGAATAAAGACATTACAAAATGAATTAGAGCCCAATTAAAATTTGCTTTGGGGGAAGGGACACCAGAATTCTATTTAAATAAAGAAAACATTTTTACAATCCAGCATTCTTTTTACTTATTTTTAACACCTATTATGCAATGAATTTATTCAGAATAGGTTCCAGTTCAGGCTTCTTTATGATAGTTCTCTCAAAATGCACTTCTCTGGGTGGACCAGGCTTGCACTTCAGTTGAACTCAAGGTACCTTTCTCTGCCGGCCTTCTTTTTCCGATCATTTTCCTTCACATTTTTAGGAAGCTGTCTATGCTCTTAGAATGCTTAATATGCTCAGTGCACACATCAATTTTCTTAGCAAGAATCTTGCCATAAATTTATTTGTTTATGATAGTGCCAAAAACATGCTCAAATAACTTCGTAGACTCAGTTTTGCCATGGTTGACATTCGTGTGGTATTCCTTTTTGAACAGTACCCATTCCCTTGATGTCTACAATACCACCTTTCTTGTAGACTCACATGTTTGTTGCCAGAGGAACAATTCCGTATTTTCTAAAAGGCCTAGGGAACATATATTGGTTGCCTTTTCTCTTTGCCTTGTGTTAGTCATTTTGGTGAATTACTGAAAGGTGGTAGTTCTGGACAGATGGCTTGTTCCCTGTTTTTAAGACTGATTTGCTATTCTTCTAGGTCTTTACATTTCCATATAAGCCCTAGAATCAGCTTATCAATCTCTCTCTCATTTATTTATTTATTTTTTAAGAGATTTTTGCTATCGGGTTTGTGCACTTGGTGGAGAGACAGAGACAGAAAGCAAGAAATCACCCCCCGTGGGGTTACGGCCATGCTGCAATCCCTTCTCTACCATCTGTTCTCCTCTTGGGGTCTTGAGCATGCACGCACACATGCCTGGTGTGAGTTTTAAGTTGTCAGATCCGGGACTTGAACTGTGGTTGACTGCATGGAAGTCTAGCAAATAACATCATGCCATCTGCAGGTCCCTCAATCTCTGTTTTTTTATCTTTTTTTTTTTTTTTTTTTTACAATGTTTCCTCGACAGATAAAGCAAACAAACAAAATACCAAGTCCTGCATAGTTTGCACCATGAAGGAATCAATCTCTGTTTTTAAGAAGGCTGCTGGGTTTGGGCTTATGGGGCCAGCAGGTAGGTTAAGGGCATTGGACTCCCACATGGCTGGCTGCAGTTCGAGTCCCAGACTTGGCGATTTGCTTTTTTCACTTTCCTTCTCTCTCACTCTGTCCCTCTTTGGTCAAATTAAAATAAACAAATAAAGTTAATAAAATCTGGAAAAAAAGAAGGCTGTTGAGGTTATGACTGGGATTGTGATTAATGTATAATTGGGGAAGATTGATATCTGAATACTGATTTTTAGTGTTCCATTTATTTAGTCTGTGTGATGAGAGAGATTGGTCCATGATTTTCCTTTTTTTTTTTGTAAAGTCTTTTGTTATGTTTTGATATTCTTATTAATCTAGTTGTATGTTACCAATTGGAAAGTATTCTTTTTCTTCTGAAAGAATTTGTGTAAGATTGCTCTTGTTCTTTAAATATTTGATTAGAATTTAGTAGTATTGGGATCAGTGAGTGACGTGGTAGTTAAGGCACTGGATATTCCCACATGGGTGACCACGGTTCAAGTCCTGGACCTGGTGGCTTGCTTTCTTTGTCTCCCTCTGGTCAAACTAAAAATAAATGAATGAATAAATAAAGTTAAATAAATAATTATTTTTTAAAAAAAGGATTTAGTAGTATCGGCAACCAGCAGTTAGCATAATGGATATGTTGCTGGACTCCC